ATGGATTAGTTGGTGGGAGCTCGTGCGTTCAGTAAAATTGACTTGAGGTCGGATTACCATCAGATCAGAGTGAAATAAGGTGATATTCAGAAGACGGTATTTAGAACCAGATATGGACATTACGAATATGTTGTAATGCCTTTTGGAGTGACTAATGTGCCAGGAGTATTTATGGAGTATATGAACCGAATCTTCCATTCTTATTTGGATCAGTTCATTGTTGTGTTTATTGACGATATACTGATTTATTCTAAGTCTGATGAAGAGCATGCAGGACATTTGAGAATTGCTTTGCAGGTGTTGAAAGATAATAAGTTGTTTGCTAAACTATCAAAGTGTGAATTCTAGTTGAAGACAGTGAGTTTCTTGGGGCATGTAATATCTGGTGATGGTATAGCGGTGGACCCATCGAAAGTGAGTGCAGTGTTGCAGTGGGAACCACCGAAGACAGCGACGGAAATTAGAAGCTTTTTGGGTTTGGCAGGATATTACCGAAGGTCTATTTAGGGGTTTTCTAATTTGGCATTGCCATTGATTCAGTTGACGAGAAAGGATCAAGTTTTTATGTGGGATGCTGCTTGTGAAGAAAGCTTTGAAGAACTGAAGAAGAAGTTGACTACGACACCGGTGTTAGTGTTGCCGACTCTGAGTGAACCTTTTGTGGTGTATTGCGATGCGTCTAAGATGGGATTAGGCGGAGTTCTTATGTAGAATAGTAAGGTGGTGGCATATGCTTCGCGGTAATTGAGGGTGCATGAAAGGAATTACCCTACTCATGATCTTGAATTGGCTGCGATAGTTTTCGTGTTAAAGATCTGGAGGCACTATTTGTATGGTTCGAGATTTGAGATGTTCAGTGACCATAAAAGTTTGAAGTATTTATTCAATCAGAAAGAGCTAAATATGAGACAGAGAAGATGGTTGGAATTCTTGAAGGATTACGATTTCAGTTTGAGTTACCATCCGGGAAAGGCGAATGTAGTAGCCAATGCTTTGAGCAGAAAAATGATTCATATGTAGGCTTTGATGGTGAAGGAAATGGAACTAATTGAGCAGTTCAGAGATTTGAGCATGGTTTGCGAGACAACGACAGATGATGTGATGTTGGGCAAGTTGCAAGTGAACAACAATTTCTTGGATATGATTAGAGAAAACCAAAAGCTAGATGTGAAGTTAGTGGATTTGATGTCTGGAGTAGGAAGTGACTCCGATAGTGATTTTGAGTTGGATAGTATAGGTATGTTGAGATTCAGAGGTAGGATTTGTGTGTCGGATAATGATGAACTGAAAATGTCAATTCTGAGTGAAGGACATCGTAGTAGTTTGAGTATCCATCCGGGAGCTACGAAGATGTACCACAATTTAAAAAAGTTATTTTGGTGGTCCGGTATAAAAAGGGATATAGCTCAATTTGTTTACGCCTGTTTGATATGTCAGAAGTCAAAAGTGGAACATCAGAGACCTTCTGGATTTATGCAACAGTTAGAATTTCCGGTTTAGAAATGGGATTGTATAACCATGGATTTTGTTACGGGTTTGCCGAATACGGCGAGAGGATTTGATGCTATATGGGTAATTGTGGATCGACTTACGAAATCTGCACATTTTGTACCGATTAATATCAGTTTTCTGTTGGTGAAGCTGGCAGAGATTTATATTCGAGTAATTGTTAAACTGCATGGTGTTCCGTCGAGTATCGTGTCGAATAGAGATCTGAGGTTTACTTCAAAATTTTGGAGGAGTTTACAGGAAGCTTTGGGTACTAAGTTGAAGCTGAGTTCAGCTTACCATCCGCAAATCGATGGTCAGTCAGAAAGGACTATTCAGTCGCTGGAAGATTTGCTAAGAGCTTGCGTGTTGGAAAAGGGTGGTGCATGGGATACTCATTTACCGTTGATCGAGTTCACGTACAATAACAGTTACCGTTCTAGTATCGGAATGGCGCCGTTTGAAGCTTTATATGGTAGAAGGTGCAAAACCCTCTGTGTTGGTATGAAACAGGTGAGATGTGGTATTGGGACAAGAAATTATGCAGCAAACTACTGAGACCATTCAGATGATTCGTGAGAGAATGAAAGCGTCTCAGAGTAGGCAGAAAAGTTATCATGATAACCGAAGAAAAGAACTAGAATTCAGTGAAGGTGATCACGTGTTCCTAAGAGTTAACCCAAGGACTGGTGTGGGTCGTGCGTTGAAGTCTAAGAAGCTGGATCCTAAGTTTATTGGACCGTATCATATTTTGCAGAGAGTTGGTGTTGTAGCTTATAGGGTGGCGTTGCCGCCTGAATTGTCGAATTTGCATGACGTGTTTCATGTGTCGCAACTTCGAAAGTATGTCTCAAATCCATCTCATGTGATTCAGAGAGATGAAGCTCAAATCCAGGAGAATCTTACTGTTGAGATGATGCCGTTAAGGGTCGAAGATCGTAACATGAAACAACTCCGAGGGAAGGAGATATCTTTGGGGAAAGTAGTTTGGGAAGGTGCTGCAGGAGGCAGTGTGACCTGGGAATTGGAAAGCAGGATGCGGGAAGCGTATTCGGAATTGTTTCCATTACGTAATTTTCGAGGACGAAAATAATTAAAGTGGGGGAGAGTTGTAACACCCATTTTAATTATTTATTCTTTTTGGTGTTATTTTATTTTGGTGTGTCCTTATGTAGGGGTGTGTCTGAGAATGTTGATGGTTACCCTTAAGTTATGGGGATTATTTAATAACTATGGAGTTTAATATTAATATAATATGATTAATGGTGGTGATAATTTAATAATTAATAGTAACATTATTATTATAATAATAATAATTATTATTATTATTATTGGAATAAGTAAAATAAGGAATTAGAGATATAAGAAGGTTTTTGGGTAGAAGAGGAAAAAACACGATAAACAGTTTTAGAGCAAGGTTAAGGAGGAAGAACAAAGAGGAAAAGGAATAAGGCTAAGGCTGTCAGATTCTTGGGGATTCTTCATCAATCAAAGCAATTAATCGAGGTAAGGGGGGAGAAACTGATTGGGATTGGTATTTTACATGAATTGGGTAGAGGGGATTCCTTAACCCCATAGGGATTAGATGAACACGATGAGTATATTGTTATTTTTATGATTGTTGCTGCTATTGATGAATTTGTGCATATATTGTTTTGATTTTGGTGAGTTTCTGCGTAACGTAGCAGAGTTGTGGTTTTGGTGAAGTTCTGTGTAACTTCTGCAGGAGTAGTGATGAATATGAAAATTGGTTCTGGAGAGAAAGTTTAAAGAGAAAATGATTAGTTTAGTGTGTAATAGTTGTAGTAATAATAGGTAGAAGATGGATGAAGAATGATAGGCTTGGAATTAATCAAAGTGACATTTTGGACAGTGAGGGTTTTGAGTGTCGCAAACGCTCGCTAGCAGGTTCACTAGGCGAGCAGGTCGCGAGCTTTCGCTAGGCGAGCTAGGTAGAGAACACTTCCAGTAGCGACTGTCTGCCTTCGCTAGGGGGTTCGCTAGGCGAGCAGCTAGCGAGCGTTCGCTAGGGCTTCACTAAGCGAATGAGCCAGCGAGCATGACATCAATTGTGATTTTTATACTGTGTGGTTTGTTCTGCCATTTCGTAGGACCTCTTTTGGTCGTGATGAGTATAGATATGGTGTTTAGTGGTGAAGTGTGTATACCTGATGTTAAAGAGGTGAAATTATGTAGCATTGACTCTAATTGGATTAACATGATTGATTGGTGTATAATACATAATGCATATGATGTATGGTGATGTGATCAGGAGGATCGTGTGCACCTAGTGTGCTTGAACTATTGGTTGTGTATGGTGATTTGATCAGTAGGATCGTGTGCACGCAGTGTGCTTTAGTTATTTGTTGTGTATTTGGTGTCGTGCATATCATGGTGTTTTGGTGGGATGAATCGTTGATCAGGAGGATTGTATGTGATCATCCGTACTCCTTTGTGGAGAATGGTGGGGATAGATCATTGCCAAGGAGAGGTGTATGTGATTTATCCGGGGTTCGATTGAATGAACCAATGAGTCGGTACCGTATGCATAGTGTTGAGTAGCATATTTTCATTGTTGTATGTTGTGTTGATGATTGGACAGTAGGTCGTGATTGATGTTGGTGGGGTGATGATTTGTATATTTACTGAATTTTATTCATGTATCTTATTACCGATAATTTTGATCATGTTTTCTCACCCCTTTGTTGTTGTTGTCGTGGTTTGTGCTTCTTCGGAAGTACATATAATCCAGGTACTTAGCTAGCTTGGATAGTGGTGTGCGAGTCGAGTCTTAGGATGCTCTGATACGTAGCACGGGACTTGGGTGTTTTATTTGTGTTATGTTAATTTTGTTTCATTCCTGTAATGTATCATTGTGGTGAACCTTGTTAATGAATACTTTTGTGTATTTTGGCAGATGGCCGTGAATGATGGATAACAATAATTTTCTGCTGCTTTATTTTGAAAATCATATGATGAAGACTTATGTTGAACTATTTGATGTGATATCCCACTTTTGGGGGAAAACTCTGATGTTATTTTGAAATAATTGTATTTTATTTGAATTTTGGGAAGTGGGGTGTTACATGTTGCAAAAGCCATACAATTTTTGAAAGTTCATTTGTGTGGGGCGAATTTGGCGTGGTAATATGTCCCTAGAACATAACCGAAACCCGTAACTCCTAATATGCCCAGAGTAGTTTGGGAGATTTAGAGCCTCGAATAATATGTCCGTAGGACCAAGGTCTTGTCTCTCTTCTTCATTTAGAGCTTATGTTAACTTCTCCTAACATCGATAAGTATAAAAGACTTGTTACAATAAAATCAATTTGAACACTTTCATTAAGATTAACCGAGATCAAAAATATTTTCATTGATCTAAAATATTAACATTCGACTTACACATTGATCCACAACTCTTTGAACATTCTCATTATCAATCACCCCATTCTTATTGACGTGGGCAGCCTTCCACACTTGACTAAGATTTATCTTATCTTCTCCCGACTCTTCTACCTGTATATACATTTTGACAAATTAACGTAGCAATTAAAAAAATAATTTATAATCTTGTACACTACTTTTATACACATACTTACCATTCAGCTTCAAGACGAGCACACCCTAAACGTGACTTTCTATAGGGATGTTGAGGATTTAACGCTCTTTCTCGATTTTCACTACTAACTTTCTTCATTTAAAGCACTATTAGACATTAGTAGTAGTGTTACTGTTTTATACCTGTGAGTTTTGATTAATTATGCAGAGAGGAAAATATGAAAGTACATAACTAGAATCCAATGGAATTTCATACTTGTAGGACATTTACAATGAAATATTTTACTATTAAAACAATAACAAAAGCATGTATTGAAGCTAGGAGTAATGGTGCTCTCATTGCAGTAACAACTTCATATGTCTCCTGCATTGAGAGACATTTTGATCATTTTTGGTAAGATCATTACTCGTATTAGTACATTGAGTCGATCCAGAAATTTAAGATGATAAGTTGAATGATATTTGCAGGTGTTTAGATCACAAACATTATATATTTGTATGTAACTTGTACTTGTTCATTAAACAAGGAGATCCTAGGCAATTATGCAGATTCAATCTTCGCAAACATTGATGAGGCAAGAGCTCTTTGTAATTTTGATGCAAAGGAGAGCACTTTTTCTGTTACAAGGTATCTAAGTCAGTTTGTCCCCCTAGTATCCGTTACAGACGGTATCAGAGGCTCTTACATAGTGTCATACCCCAAATTTGTCCTACTTCGGTATTTAATGGATGTTTTACTGCTTCACGACTTCTGGCCATGATTCTCTAAGACTTCGTTTATAAAGACTTTGTGTGTACTCATTGTGGTAATAATCCCTGGCAATTTATGCTGAATTCTTGTGGGAGGAGCGCGCCTCCAGCCCCTTGTACCCAAACTCATGTGTGTCCTCGTTCTCACGATCAGACAGACATGATATGATCAATAACACAAAGTACATGATTGGATCTATCTTGCCACACAGTTTCAGGAAATTTACACCCTATTTCAACTTGATTACAAACTTCTCCTTAAATGTTGTTTAAGCCTCACACTACAAGTTTCTTATTATGGTCTGCACTTAATTCAAGTTAATTCAAAGATACTTCACATGATGCTTATGGACACAGTCAATTTAGCCTCAGACTTTGTTCGAATTGATTGCAAGCGTCAAGCTATATTTGGATTCTAAATCGGTTTGCGACAAACTTAGATTTAGCTTGCAAATTTTCAAGTCATAATTGGATTACAATTTGGATGCAATTAATCTAGAATATATTTCGATTTGTTTCAAGACATAATCAATTGGTTTCAAGTAGCATTGAACCATATTTCATGATTGGTACTAAAGTAGCGCGGTAGACATAGCCAAAGTTAGATCAACCTCATTTCAAGAAGTTCATAATATACGTAGCATATAAGTAATCAAGTTGTTAAGTGGTTTCGAGTTGTGTTTAATGCCTCTCAATTCGCGTTTTAAGGCCATGATTGTAGTACACCCTCCAAACCATACCAAATTTTATTGCAATTATGATGGAGTCTAAGAGCAACTCATGGTTGGCTGTAGCATACATGGCTTCGAGATGTTTCAAAATAATTTAGTTTGCTGCAAGAAATGCTAAGGTTTAAGCAATGCTATTTATATAGTTTTGAGTCATGGTAGTTTCAAAGCACGCTTGAAAGTCTTGGCAAATCATAATGTTTCCTGCTGGTCCAAGCGTAACAGTTGCTGCTGCACTCATAAACCATGCAAGAGTAATAACAACCTTAGTATATTCAAAAGTAATAGGAGTTTTCCCAAACAGAGTTCATTCTTTAATTCCGCCAAATATTCAAGATACAAAAGAGAAGCTTGTATATTTCCGAATAAAATAAGTTGGTGGAACCAAGAAAACTCATGAATAAAAAGAAGAATTCAAACAGACAGGTTTTTTTAGGACAAAGGGGTACAGATGATAAATCCTATGTCTATGTTGTTAGGAGGACATCTCTCTTGCAGTAGCTGCAGCAAGACATTCAACTCTGAAATAGGATTAACTCAGCACACTAAAGCCAAGCATGGTGCCAAATCCTGCTAGTGCGTTGCACAGACTCAGTTCAGTCATACCAAGATGAAGAATGTACAGGAAAATTGGTGCAAAATACAGAGAGATTAACAGAATTCACTCAGAAAATGCTATCATACACTCCAATATTCCCTGTATAAATTATGTCTTTCTTCACATTTGGAAGGCGCTGACTTCGAGCTCCTCATTCTCTCTTCATCTTCATTATCAATTCAATAATTTCCTGCAAGAGAATCAGAGAAAAACACCATTATCACCGAGCTTCAGTTCAAATTCTTCAAACTAAAAAGCATGCAGTAATGTAGAGAAAACAATGCCACAACACAGTCAAATGTCAACAAGACAGGGATACATCAAATAAGAAGTTGGTTAGTCAAGTTACAATTGACGCCGACATTATCAACATCCTAAGGCTGCAGTCCTGAGAGATATGGTTAGAAAGAAGGCCACTTTCCGCATGTTTATTCAAAACACCATTTCAGAACTCGTGTACAAATTGCAAAGCTTAAACATGCAAAATACTTGAACTTGGAGTTAAGTATCTCATGAGTTTTCCAAGCCAGCTAAGATATCTTCATGCTCCATCCTGCAAATGCTAAAAAAAACACTCAATGAGCAGGGGATAAAAATGGAGAATATTTTAAAGCACATAGAAGCAAATGGTTGATCTCAAGGAAGAGAAAATAATGTGTTGGTAATGACAAGGCATCTATGGAGATTTTACTAAAGAACAAGTTCAAAATAAAAACTTACAGGGACGACATCATGATTGTTTATTCCGAGGTTATCGCGCCGCTCTGCATCAAGTGAAGGCCAATACCTACAGAACGGTAAACAAAAAACAATAATCTCATCAGCAGTGTATCTTTTCGGCAACTGATCTCGCATAAGAACAAGTTTCAACCAAAAGAAATTTGAGTAAATATGTCTAGAGCAACACAGTCATTGAAAATTTACCTTCATGGTGTATCAAAATGTTGCTTCACCAAAATTGAGAGAATGATCTTCACCAAGAAACTGTGAGCATAGGTTTGTTTCCGCACCAAAACTCCGACACCACTCTGCACCAGGTAAGAATAAGCACTTGTAGAAATGTAAGAAGGAACATGAATCATCCATGCAAAACAAGAATTTTTGAGTTATATTCCACAAGGTCTAAGTGAAGAAATCATAATGCAAAGAAATCATAAGGCTTAAATCTATAAGGAATGCAATATCTACTATACACAAATCTCCATACCTCATTCTGCGAGTTTCAAAATAACTCCTAACTTATGTCTTCATGCCAAGTTCTCAGCAGAGGCTTGATTTTCCACAAAGACATTAATGTTGTTCTTCATCTAAATCCATACAAACTTCTTAGCAAGGAACAAACCTATTGCATCGAAACATGACAGGAATTAAAAGTCATCCAAATATTGCAGAAAGAACAAAAACATTTTTAGTCAAATTAAAGACTTCCGTGTCAGCAAATTGATAAGCAGTAAAAGAAACATTTTCAGGCAGTAAAAATCAGGGTAAAAAACATTTCCAGAAACGGCTAACAAACAGAAATCACAAGCAAGGAGCCGAAAGTAACCCAATTTCTACCAAAAATTCACACGTTTTGCTGAGAAAACCCTAATCTCACACGTATGAAGCCCCTATATATTTGGCACTGTTCGTTCAGGCAGAGAGATAAAAAAAAACCCTAAGGTTACTCTGCTAAAATCCACCCTCAACCCATCCTAAAGCTCTTTGTTTCCAAATCTTCCCAGAGCCCACATCAGAGCTCTGTGTAAGGTGAGCTTACCCGCGTTTACGCGCTCTCAAGATACAACATTCCCAGCAAACCACAGACAAAGCGATGAAGGAGGAGAAAGCAAGAAACTACGCACAAACGTGGATAAAAGAGTGCTCAAAAATCATACCTTCAGGTTAGTGAGAAACAAAATTATGCTGCTAAACCTCTATGATACACGCTCTTGTCATTTTCCATCTATAATTTCGATTGCTTGTTGTGATTGGTGTAGTTAATCGATTGCCTCTATTAGTTTAAAGCGTTGATTTTAGAACTATCAAAGTTAGGCTTAATCTCAGGTTGGAACTTGTCTCAGTTGTCGAGATAATAGTAAATTTAGGGTTAGCGTTAGATGAAGGGCGAATTTGGGGGTTTCGTGAGGTAGGAGAAGAAGTTTCTGAGTTTCAGAGAGTGAGGTTCGAAGATTGAGGAGATGGAGTGTTTGTTCCTTGGAGAAATACAAGGTTGTAGATAACCTAGCCGTTATAGTTGGGAGCTCGATGCAGCTACGAGACTCTCCTTATTCTGGGCGGTTCCGTTTTTTTAATTAATTATTAAAATTTATTAATTCTTTTGTTTTATTTAAAAAGGGAGAGTATATCGTTGGTGCAGGGAGAGAGATTAGTAGAGATCAACTGTAACTTTTTGCATTAATAGCCACTGATTTTTTTTCCATTCATTTTAACAAATAGGATATTAATCTTAATGGAATTTTAATTTACACAATATTAATTTAAAAAATATTAATGTGTGGTTTTAATTTTAATATTTAATTGTTTGTTTAGTTATAGATTAAATGACATTATATGATTTTAAATTCATTTTAAATTGTTAGAATGATTTTCTTTTTCTTTCTACCTCAAAAATGATTAAAGTAATTGTTCACCCCGATTTATATAGTTTTTAAATTAAGTCTAAGCTTTCAAAATAATGAAAGTGGTGGATCCTTGGAGTCTAGCACTCCCTGGATCCTTAAGTGACCGCTCTCGAGGTGCACGCCTTGAGTTGTGGTCGCTTCGTCGTTCATCGCTAAAACTCTCCAACTTTGTTTAAACTTTCAAAGTAGGCAAACCCCAATTCGAATAATATGCCTACCATAGGTTAACCCACCTACACAAACTTATTCAAACCATTTTTCTTAATTAAATTACAAAAGTATCGAGTTCTTGGAGTCGCGCATTCCTTGAATTCGAGAGTGACAACTATTGAAGCGTACGCCTTTTATAGTGTGTCATTCGAACTTTCGTTCCTAAAACACCTCCCCTAATTACTTGGAAAAGTACTTTCACTGTCCAACAAACATATTTCATAATTAATGGAATGAAAAAAGATGTTGTTGGGATCTAGTATTCCAATGATATCCCGACTAATTGGTTACGAGGCCGACATCTCGTTTATCGAATAGTCGTCATTCCTCCTAAACATACGACCCGTCTAACCTCGTTTCTCACCCTCGTGTGATTGAATCTAAATCTCCTTCAATTCAAACTCTTTCGTGTCTAAGTCGTCCATCAAACACAACTTTCAAAATTGAATGAAAAAGGTATCGTTAGGATCTAGCATTCCAATGATATCCCGATTAATTGGTTGCGAGACTGACGTCTCGTTTATCGAGTAGTCGTCATTCTCCCTTAAAATACTTAACCAATCTAGCCAAACTCTCTTTTCTCGCTCCCGTGCGATTGAAACTTTTCAAACACTAAATTCCTCGCCCTCGTGCGATTTTCAAATCAAACAACTCTTCTCGAAGAACATTGTTTAGTCCTTTCTTCCGCGCATAACAAACTCGTGCTTCAGCCTCCCCTAGCGAGCAGACAAGCCAATGTTTAGCAGTTAGAATGCGACCTAAACTCTCGTTCATCTCATACACTGTTTTCCAAGAACATTGTTTAGTCCTTTCTCCCGCGCATATGAACTGGTGCTTCAGCCTCCCCTTGCGAGCAGACAAGCCAACGTTTAGCAGTTAGAATGCGACCTAAACGGTCGTTCATTTTCAACCCTTTTACCGTAGTTAGCCGAACTACGGTTGCTTTGATTTCTCATTTATCAATGAGAATATGTAGGCACAAGATTGCGATGATCTTGGCGAGCACAATCCCCCTCTTTTCCCGTAGTCCCGCGAACTACGAATGCTCTGATTTTCCACTTCTTACAAGTGAAGATACGTAGGCACAAGGGCCCTAATCCTTGGCGAGCACCCTATCTTAAAACCACGCATTCCCCCTATAGGAGAAACCTTAGAAGAAAACAAACAAGCGTAGCTAACTTTACTCTCGAATCGAATCAAGAGGTTCCCGTTGAGTACAACGGACATGAGGGGTGCTAATACCTTCCCCTCATGTAATCGACTCCCGAACCTAGAATATTGGTTGCGATGACCATGTTCTTATCTTCTTAAAGGTTTTATCAATATTTTCCTATTCCATCCCTGGAATGAATAAAGTTCGGTGGCGACTTTGTTCGAACATATTTTCCGCGTCCATCGCGATGATCATATTTTTTGAGGTACGACACATAGGCATAAGAGGTGAAGCCGTATACATCCCTCCTTCTCCATGTGTTTCAGTAGATACATGTGGTGCTGGTGATGCATATGCTTCTGGCATTCTGTACGGTGTTTTACGAGGTATGTCGGACTTGAGAAGTATCGGTACAATAGCAGCTAAGTGTTAACATTGCTATGAAAATTTGTATGCATGATGGGTAGAGATAAATAATGACAAGTTATTACCTGAAACTTTTCAGTCAGACGCTGAGCTACAAATTTATCCCAATCCTCTTGTTTTATACAGTAAGAAAATTTTGCCTGTCGATGTTTAACAAAACCACCCTTACTATCTCTTAGATAGAACATTGCCATTTTTGTCCTGAATGCCTTGTGCAACTTTCCATCTTCTTTATATATAAATGCACGATGTTCTTCGCCAATTACAAAAGCTTTCTGCAAACAACTCAATTTATTAAAATACTGTTCAGGTTATTTAAACATCCAAACAGATAATTTATGGAATTAAAATATTACAACAAGCTTGAGTTAGTGTGTTACTTCAATTTCATCCCAAATGTTTTGTTTATAAACCCCTACAACCTCTTTATTTTTTTTCGCGCTCCAATTGTCCAAACTAATTGGAACTAACCGATGAACCGTGAGACCAATATAACTAGTTGAACTCTTGCTATTATGCTTGATTGGTTGACCTCTTGCGTTCCATTGAACCTATAACAAAATTAAAGTGCAATTAAATAATCCTCAATGTCACTAATATTCTAAGACAATCAGCGGTCTCACAAAAATCTAGCTATTTTACCTCAATCCTCTTTCCATTGCTTTTGGCTTTGTGGATTTTTTGCAACCGAGTCACACCATGTTTACCAACTGTTTTCATACTAGACGAACCACCTTTATCATTAGTAGAAACCATATTTAACCTGTAAAAAGTGTAATAGTATTATATTTGATGACATTGTTCATGCAAACTCAGAAAAACATAAAACACAATATCATTCTTAAACAACATTTTATTCACTCACATTAAAGACAATTTTCAAGTGATTCCACAAATTTTCAAGTCGGCCTTTTCCTCTTCCTTGTAATTGGATTCCTACTTTTGTGTTTTCTAGATACATAAAATGATGGGTTGATCCAAATCCCATCATTGTGATCGTTTCTCATATAAAGAATATCATTTATAATTGGTTCATCCTCAAGGGATTGTGATGTATTAAAGAAAGGATCATCCTCAACATCTATACTTTGAGTGTTTTGATCATTTATTTTGTTACTCAGAAACACAATAGACCATTTTTCATCGGCAGGATCAGTGACATAGAATACTTGGTGAGCTTTTGATGCTAAAATAAAAGGCTCGTATTTATACCCCACTTTATTAAGATCGACCTTCATGAACCCAGGGTCAACTTGAAGGCCATTGTTGTTGTCAACCCACTTGCAACCAAACACAGGCACTTAAAAGCATGAGTAATGCAACTCCCAAATACGTTCAATGACCCCAAAATATGACAATTTGGAAAATGCGGGATTTCTGTTTTTGGAACTTGAGATATGCACAGATTCAGCTATGAGTGTGACACCGCTATTTTGCATAGTGCTTTGATGATCATGTTCATTCGTATAAAATGTATACTTATTAATTATATAACCAGAGTACGAGAGAACATTTGCATTTGGACCATTTGCTAGCCATCTCAATCTTTCGGAAATTGAAGCAGGAATTTTGGCAAATTCTGAAAAATGTGTTCTTTTAGCCACGATATAAAACTTTGATTGTCCTCTCTTGTTAACCAATTTTCACTCCTGTTAGGGTTCAAACTTTGAAGGATTTCCTTGTGCTTTTCAACATATGGCTCAACCTCATCAACATTGTGTAGTACATACAAGTGTGCTTGCTCCAATTCGATGTCTGACATGGTGACTAGTTTACTTGCACCAATCCCTTCCCCTATTGTTTTCCAGAGTGTCGTGACATTGGAAGCCCTATGGACTCAACATTAGAGAGGTATTCATTACAAAACTCAATTGCTTCGTCAACTAAATATGGTTCAACAATGCAACCCTCTGGTCGACTTCGATTCTTCACGTACCCTTTTATTATCTTTATGTAACGCTTAATCGAGTAGATGATAAGATGGACGGTGAGATGAACCATTATGTCAAAAAATGAGGGTGGATAATACATCTCAAGCTCACATAATGTGTGTTGCACCCCAAAATTTGACCAACAATTATTTATTCATTGAGTGTTTGGAAGTGGATACCTTCATCAGAAAGTTCAAGAGATCCTCAGAAGAAGTGGTTTGAAACCAGGGTTGTGTGCTTCACAGTTTGAAAGTTGTGGGTGCTCCTCAGATGATTCTGAGACTTTGAGAATGAACTTGATGTTTTGGGAAAGCCTATGAGATGCCTTGATAGCCTTCATGAAGCCCAGAGAAGTCATTATGCAAGAGTTCAGAAGATTCAACCATGAATGATAGAATTAGGGTTTTGACTGGGTCAACCCTAGGATAACTGAAGATTTGGAGAAGGTTGAGACTCAATCCAAGGGCCATGAGATCATGGAATGATGCATAGAGATGATATAAAGATGATTCCTAGGCCAACTCATCATGAGTGAGGGGTTTGAGAAGTTTCAAGTCAGGATCCCCAAGGGTTGTCAGTGAAAAACCCTAATTTGATCCCTATCTTCCAGGCAGTTTTAGCTCAAGTTGTGATTGATATCTCACCTTCCCCATAACATGAATGTTGTAGAGCTTGTTCTAAGCTTTAATTTGAGTGGTGGAAGTCCTTGATAGGAGTTACAGAGCTCAAGTTATGGTTTTGACAAATTACAGGTCAGCAGAGGTGTGTGAGTCTGGGTCCTTGAAAGTCACCCAACTTGCAGACAACTTTTTCCCTAGAAGGAGGATTCCTATGGCTTCTTGGTCAACGTGAATGTTGAAGAGCATCTTCTTAGCTTTAATTTGAGTGGTAGAAGTCCTTGATTGGATTTGTGGAACTCAACTTATGGTTTGAACAAGACAGGGGTATTTTGGTCATTTGTCAGTTATAGGTCATTTTAGCCAATGCCTAAAACTCCTATTTCCAAGCCTCAAATGAAAAAACTCAAAACATGAAAGTTGCTCAAAATGTGATTTTAAGTCTAGAAAGAAGGTCACAAATTGTTGGAAAAGCTCATAGCATGAGATTACATGATTGGTCAAAAATGAACTAAAAATGGCATATAAGTTTGAAAAGTTGAATTTGAAAAGTGATTTGGAAGATCCACAAATCCAAAATAGGTCATCCAATATATCATTTTGATTGGAAAAATCATTTTGAGAACATTGGTTTAGCTAGAATTTTGATTTGAAACTTTAAAATGGGTGATGCTTTGAAAAGTTGTTACTTGAAAAAGAAGGCAATGTTGAAAAACCCTACACAAGCCAAAGATGAGCTTGTTTTTCACTCATCCCTTCTCAATATCTCATGTAAAGATAATTTAAGACCAAATGGCAAGGCATAAGGCATGGAAGATGAGAAATTCAATTTGTCCCCACATGAGATTTTCAAGAACTTTCCACACTTTTCTAGATGATTCTAGAAGGATCCAGCTTCTTCCATCCATCATTATAAGAAGGATGATCTTCATAGTGTTCAAGGTTGGTGATAGAGAGTCAAGTCAGAGGAGAAAGAGAGAGATACATTGCCATTAAAGAGCTACCTTCACAATCAAGCAACTTGAGTTTTCTTCCATCACAAGCATCTTCCATCAACAACTCTTGCAAACAGAAGGTTGTGGATCATCCAAGGAGCATCTTGAACCAATTCCAAGGCCTGCAAGCATCCCCACGAGCCCTCACCATCATCCCTTTGACAGGTTCTTTCTTCTCCTTGTATCTCTTAAGTTAGCTAGTTTCAATTAGTTTTGTAGGCATGGAATGAGTGTATTAGGGTAGATGATCAAATACTGAAAGTTAGGGCACGATCCATGATGGTTTGTAACAGGTGCATGAATCTTTGATGTGCAAGAATGAACTGTGTGCTAGGCTTTAATCAACATGACATGGATTATAGTGATTAGGGTGGCATAGGGAACAGGATTGCAGCTTTAGTTTTGAGTTTTATTAGGATTGATCTCAGAGAAATATTTTTGAACCATGATCTTGAACCTCTCTGTTAGGAGGATCTAGGAAGAATTATGGAAAACCACACGCATGGTTGTGTTCTAGGCAATTAGTAGATCATGTTTGCCCTTGGAATCTTTTGATTTCGTTGAGTGAGTGAAGAGAACGAACCAGTTGAATCTTGGTGCATGGAACTGAGTTTGTCTGGAAACCCTAGAAAGCAGTTGGGGACGATGGCAATCGTCCGTTGGATTAAGTTCCATCCCTTGACTCATTAATCTGATCAAACGGCCACGATTTGAAAGAACCAAACGGAGGAAAAAAAATAATAAGTTGAAACGCATCGTTTTAGTTAGTTATAGGTAATGGGCTCAGAAACAATTACTAATCGCACACCCCCCCTATTGCTGGCCCATCTAATTCCAACTGGCGCGCCTTGCTTGTTACACCCCCCCTCCCTTTTATTTGTTTTAATTTCTTTTATTTTCGTTTTAATATTTTTCTGTTTTAGAAAATTCATTAAAAATTGAAAAATAACTCTTTTTTAATGCTTCTTTTTTCTATGATTAGATCATTTTGTGTAGAAAATATTAAAAATGAAAATGGGATTTTATTTTTAAGTTTAGTATTTTTAATAGATTTTTCTTTTAAGTAGCTTTTATAATGTTTAGTTTTGTATCATGATTTTGTAAGAATTGTTTTAGGACCTTCCCTTAGGTTTTTTTATCCATTCTTTTTTGTGCAATTAAATGATGAATCATATTTCCCCATAGGATTTTTTCTAGGATTTTAGAATTACATTTTGATTAGTTTAATTAGGGTAGATGTAGGGTATCCTAATTAGGGTTTAGGTTGTGCTTAGGTGAAGAATCCCTTTCTTTGATTGAGTTTTGTCTTGATTTTTTAGGTAGAGGCCTATATGGATGTTATGAATAGACTTTGTAGACCCTTGTGAATAATTGTTAGATTTTTCCCCATTAGTTTCGTATTTTTAGGTATTTTCTGAAGTTGCCTGTTGATTCTGTCTGCCCTGTGGTTATCTGTTCATCTCTGGGGTTTGTTGGGGGAATTTGTTGAGGGGCTTGTGTTGCCTTGAAGACCCTGATGGAGAGCATCATGAAGTGAAGATTATAGATCAAGATTCAGAGACCCAGAGCTTGGATTGTCCCCTGTTTGTGAGGTTTGAGATCCTGAAGTTTGAAGGAAGTTCATGGTACTTTCCTGAGGAAGGCACTATGAATGACTTTCATTCTTTCTTCTCACCTCTTTCTTATGTATCCAATGATGTTGGAGCCAACTTGTGAGTTTAATTTCTCCTGAGGAGGAATGTAAACTAATCACATGTTGTTGAGCCACATGGGATACAACTCCTAAGTGGAAGCCTCCTAGTACTTTCCTGAGGAAGGTCCTATGAGTCTATTCACTTAGTTCCCTTAGTTTGTCTAGGCTTTCCTAAGTATCCAATGATGTTGGAGCCAACTTGTGAGTTTAATTTCTCCTGAGGAGGAATGTAAACTGATCACATGTTGTTGAGCCACATAGGATACAACTCCTAAGCGGAAGCCTCCTAGTACTTTCCTGAGGAAGGTCCTATGAGTCTATTCACTTAGTTCCACTAGTTCAGATAGGATTTCCTAAATATCCAGTGATGTTGGAGCCTGCTTGTGAGTTTAATTTCTCCTGAGGAGGAATGTAAACTGATCACAGTGGTTGAGCCACATAGGGTATGACTCCTGAGTATACACCTCCTAGTGCTTTCCTGAGGAAGACACTATGAGTCTGCTTACTTAGCTCCCTGTCT